TTAGTTTTTCTTTTTGTTTTCTTGGTACTATTGGTGGTTTTGTACTAGATATAAGATCATTACTTTCTTTTGCTCTCAGTAAAGAAAGAGAATATGAAGGAAAAAGCTTTGACGGGCCAACAAAGTTTATCTAACTTGTTTACAGGTTGGTGCGACACGTCGCATCTGGGCACATATGATGTAGCCAGGTGATGTTGGGCTTGCAATTTTTAATTAGATATTATTAGAATTTTTGAAACTTTGTTTTGTAGTCTAATAGTACTATAATTTGTATTTGAGTACCGACAAGACTGTCAAAGAATAAAAAAAAATAGGGGAAGTGCCTAACTTTGTTTTTAGTAAATAAACTGTTAACTTCTTCGTACAAAAGTTGCAAAGTAATTATATTAAAAATTTTTTTGCTTATTTATTCAATATTTAGTTAGAATATATAATTAGCATTTTAATTAATAGCAGAAATGCCATTACCTGATCCAATATAAGAGAACTTTAGTCAGCTAAAACATGTAGTTGGGTATAAGCAGAAAAGGTGACAATGTAAAAAATATGGGGACCAAATTAATGATTTGCTAAGACAAGCTTTCAAGCATTTTTATAAATGCTCAAGAATTTCTTTGATACAAAAAAAAAATTATTTTGGAGACTCTTATGAAGAAAGTGATAACAAAGCATCTGTAAGCATATCCACATTAGTTTCCTTAGCATTTGCTGATTCTATTTCAAGAAAAGAACAAGAATCACTAAAATTAGCATTTGCAAAGTCTATATTTTGTTGAGCCTTTTTTTATCTCTTTTTGAAATAAAGTATAAAAGATTTATGGAAAAAAAGCAAAACTAGCCTTCAAACTTCCTAGTCGAAAAAAACTTTTAACAAAATTATTAGACATTATCTTTGAAGAAACTAAATGTAATGTTGAAGCCTTAATTGACAAAAGTGAAAACTTATATTTCATATCTAATGGATAGTCTAATCTAGAGGTCGGAACCAGTTTTAAAAATTCGAGTTTATCACACCAAAATTCAAGTTTATCATATTATTTATTAATAATTAATGTGATAAACTCGAATTTTGGTGTGATAAACTCGAATTTTGATAGGATAAACTCAAATTTTTAAAACCGGTTCCGACCTCTAGTTTGATCTAATACTATAGCATTGGACTAATTACATTTTGATAACCCCTAAACCCGTTTTTTTCACTGCATATCCGACTAGTGAAATTTGGCAAAATGGTGAAACAATTGCCAAAGATTTTGAAAAAATAATTGTTGAAGTTGGCCCATCTAAAATCTCAGCTCTAATCATGAATAATGCTTCCATTATAAAGAAAGTATAGCACATGCTAGAACTAAAATATCCTAAATGTTTTTTTTAGGTTGTATAGTGTGTAGCTTAAATCTTCTAATTGGTGATATTTTGAAAATTCCATGGTGTACAAATATATTAAAAAATGTCAAAAAAATTGTTCTATATTTCCGATTACATCAAATTTCAATGGCTATTTTAAAATGACACTAATTAGCAACATATGAATGTTGAGTATCTTTAAAGTTGCTAGTTAAAACATGATGAGGATCTTTGGCTATATGCCTCAATTTATTATTACAAAATAAGCTTGTGCTTAAATTAACAATCACGAAAATAGCATACAACAATTATGAAAGATTACTTGAGTTGATTAATAAAACTATTAGTGATAAAAATTTTTGAAAAGATATTAGAAATCTTCTTCTAATACTTAATCGATTAATTGTTAGAATTTTATTATTTGAAGCTGATACATCACGATTGGCTTTATTTTATCTTTGGTATCATGAACAGTTAGAATCTGATAGTAAATGATTTTATATATTAAAATTAATTTTCAAATTATATATTAAATTGTAATTACTTATATCATTTAGAAATAAACAGTCAAATTAAAATTTTATTTGAAAATTGATGAAAAAAAATATTTTATCCAGTTATAGCTTTCACTCATCTTTTAGATCCACAATATCCTGGATAAAAGCTTACTGCTAATAGTATACTAGTGCTATTACAATTTGTTCAATAATACTATCCAGATAATGCAGCTATTATCTGGCAAGAATTAATTGAATATAAAACTAAAATAGGTGTTTTTAATTTTCAATTAGCAAAAAAACTCTTCCCAACGATTACTTGGACCAAACTTCCAACTAAAAGAAGAAATAAGAAGTCTGTTGGAGAGTTAAAGTAGATTATTAGAATAGTTTGTAGAAAGGTTAACTAGGTCTAGGGACTCCTTTCTATGTTCAGCATGCAAGCCAAAAGCCTCAGAAGTAACAGTAAAAAAAGCAGGCAGTGCTTATTATTCCAAGTATAAATTTTGATAGACTCATCCATCGATGAAGTTTTTTTTAGTCTACTGTTCTAAAGACCTATAGTAGTGGTTTTTAGGATACAACAAAGTGGTTAACCTTGCTCTAGAAGACTCTCTCCTATATTTGACATGCAAGCCAAAAGTCTAGAAACAGAAGTGAAAAAGCAGGTGGTGCTTACTGTGAATAGAAAAAATTTTGGTAGGCACAGACCTGTCGACAAAACTACAAAGATCTTTAGAACCCAGGTGTACAACAGACTTTTTTATTTTTGAAAGCTGCACTTATTTGATATATACAAGTAGTACATTTTTACTTTCTTTCTCGTTCTCTTGCCGGTTTTCCAAAAATTTCAAAAAAAAATAGGGATTTGGCTTACTTTCTCCAAAAGATTGGCATTGTTTACTTTCCAAATTCAGACAAACTCAGTAGAATGCAACTATGTAACGTGTCTGTTTACAAATACGGTGCTACTCTGGGGAAGTTGAACTGGGACCTCCGGTTAAAAAAATATCTGAAAGCGGTTATAAGTTGGAAGAACTTTATACGTTAAGACAAAGCTTTACAGTAAAGATATACAATCATTGCATTTGTTATATAATTTTTTCAGTGTTGCACAGGTTATAATAGTGCATTTTGGTTATATAGAGAGGTGAAATTCCTCTTGAACTGTTATCTTTTTTCTATAAAATGTTTTTATTCTATTTTTTTTCTTTTTTTGGGTTTTTTATTTTTATATTTCATTTATTTTTCTCTAGTCCCCCTTTTTATATCTCCTTTTTAGTCATAGTTCGTTTTTGTTTTTTTATAGATTTTTTGATAAGATAATTCTAGCTTGTTCGCAAGCTAATACAATGGGTTGCATTTAGGATCGTAAGGTAACTAAGTGAAATTGGGCTTATAGTTCTAAACATTAAATATATATAGTTTTTATATATGTTTTTAATAAAAAGCAAGCCATGGCAAAACCCGTGAAGATTAAAAAAAAAAAAAAAACTTCAATTAGCATGGAATACAGTTAATGATATTGATTCTATTGCTTAGTAAAAAGGAAACTTTGGAACTTCAGCACCTGAATTGTGTGAAGTAGCTGCTTGAATTCTTTCAATTTTTTTATCATTTGCAGCTTCTAAGCACAACTGGTTAGCTTTTTCATATATCCAAAAAAAAAAAAGAGCTAGGTTAACTAATTATTGGGTATTAAAACTAGTATACATTTATAGTAACTATAAACTTACATGTTTGCAACAACAATTATCTAATACAACAAAAGCAATATTATAAATTAATAATAAGTTAACTATATATCAAAAAAATACTAAACTATTAGATCTGATAAATAATAATCTAGATAATTCTTATAAAGAAATTGTAGTAGCAAATAAAGATAAAGAATTGTTTAATTGTTCAAGTGTCGAAGAAACTGATAGTGAAATAGATGAAGAAATCGAGAATGTAGATTAATTGTCTTCAAATCAGATGTAAAGTGCAGATAAATATATATTTAATGCATAATAAAAGATTATTTTGCTTTATAATAACAATAATAATAACAACCACATTGTAAAATTTCTTAAAAATTATTATATTTGTACATGTATACATATAGTTCAGTTTCACTCTAACAGTAACAAAAGTCATCAATAGTAATCTAGTATTAATCATGTGCATTATACATATCATACATATCATGCATACTTTTGCATAATACATGCTGCATGGTTCAAAATCAGCATTTTGCCTATCTTTAGATAAAACCCTAGTGTAACTAATCTAAAAAATTTCGCTATTATGTGATATGTTGATCAGCTACTATAAATAAGTATGTACGTTGTTTTTTTAGCGCGTTATTTTTTGTTGTTTTTTTTTTGTTGTTTTTTTTGTTGTTTTTTTTTTTGTTGTTTTTTTTTTATCAGTTTATTTTTTTTTTTGGTTTTTTTTCATTGTTTTTTTGCTATTTTTTCTTTGGTTTTCATGTTCTTTTTTTTTTTTAGGTCAATGTTTTTCTTTTATTGCTTTCTTACTTTTTCGGCACTTTTTTAGTGCTTCTTTTGCCACTTTTTTGGTGATTTTTTTGGTACTTTTCTTGTCTTTCTTTTGGGACTCTCTTATCATCTTTTAGTAGTCTCTTTGTCATTCTTTTGATGATGCTTTCTTCAGTTCTTTTTACTAAGAATCTGACATTGTAGTTTGGGGTAGATAACGCACCTACAAAAGTTGTTTCTTCTTATAATTTTTACTGAGAATTCAATATTGTAGTTTGTAGTTGGGTTAGGGTTAGGGTTAGAGCAAAGTTTCTATTAGTAAAATTTTGTGTGAAGCATTTTAATTAGGCTGTGAGAATGGTTTCTTATAAATTTTGTTATTTCTGTTTTTTTTTGTAAAAAAAATTAAATTTTAAATAAAAAATGTTTTTAAATAAATGTTTTATAATTTTCTTTTTTTTTTAAAAAAAATATATATCTTAACATTAATGTTCATTAAGAAAAAAATTTAATTGGCCAGCACGTGACTTGCGAAATTTTTTAAGTTGGTGATGCTAGGAGGGTTATCTCTAGGGACAACAAATGTTTTAAACCACGATCCTAAAAATCATGGTTGATTTAAATTTGTTAAAAATAGGTTAATACATTATGACATGATTATGTAATTTAAATGTATAATTTTATGATTAAAATTCAAAACAATATTTCATGTTTGTCATTAAAAGAAATCCGGTTAAACTTTACAAATTTGCAAAACCTAATAAAATAATCAACAATACCTCACAAAAAATGTAATCATTGAGAAGACTGTGTATTGATTTAGTTGACCGATTAAAAGGTTATTAAAATATAAAAAACTTCTAAGAGATATATAAAAGATTTTTAAGATTTATTGAAAGCTCAAAAACAGAATTCTGATCAAATAATTATTCACTAAAACTTATTCAATGAGATTTACATAGTGGTAATTTTGTAAACCTTAGACTTTAATACCAACAAATGTAAATTAATATAGAATAAAAGCTTTGTTAAAAATTAAAGTGATTAAATAGATTATTTTTTTTAGATTTTTTATGTAATATCTAATAAATTCACATTCTTTTTTAAAAAAATATTTCTCTGCTGAAATTTAAAATTAACCAATTAGAGGCAATATTTTCAGTTTTGTCAAAATTTAGTATCAGACATCAATGTTTTAAAAAAAAAGGTTTAGACCGTGTTTTTACCATTCCTACTAATACTGTATAAGAATATGAGACTAAAGATACAGTAAAACAAAGACAATTAGAAAAAAGCACTTGCAACTTGATTTTTGAAATAAATCATTTGACAATGTTATAATTAGAATATTTATAAAACAGCCATTACTTTATACATCACATCACAAAAAGTGTTGTCTTAATGTGTTAGCAGATTTAAAAAAAAAGGTATATAGAACTACGTTGTATC